GGGTTTCTAGGGGCTGGAGCCAACTTCACGGTGTTCCCTTACCCCCCAACAATATATGGTGTCCCGTAGGACTCAAGACATATCCCGTCATCTCCCTGTCGCCCCACCTGCTTGCATCTCTGCCCACAGCTCTCCGACCCCCGACTCCACCAGGAACGTGCGGCTGTGGCGGGACCTTCGCAGCTGCTCGCGGGCTGGGGGGGTCGAGGGACAGCCAGACAGTGAGGTTATTAGGAGGTGGCCTCAGCTACAACACTCAGTCTCCATCCTCCTGCCTACGCCTTCCATGAGCACCTGGAGCAGCCAGTGCTCTGGAAACTGCCGCTGCTCCCTCCACTCCTAACTGGGAGAGGGTAGTGCTGAACGCCAAAGGGTCCAGAGAAACCTGATGGGATAATCTCAGGTGCTGTAACCAACAGCTGAGGGGAAGCATTTCTGTCTGCAGCGCCTTCTTTTAATGCAGGAGGGCTCAGGCGGTGGCAAAATCTGTTAGAGGGTTTGAAGGAGCTGTGTGTGCACGGAGGTGGTCTTGGGGGATTTGGGAGCCCAGGACTTGGAACCTCCCCCTGTCATGGAGATAGCATTTGCGGGGGAGGGGGTGGTGGTGGTTGCAGTGAACAAAGTTGACCATGACTGTCTCAGTGCCCGGCCCTGGGAACAGGACCTTGGGGCTGATGTGAGGCTGGGGAGGAGGGAGGGACCGCTGATTCAGTGGCTTTTAGGGGAAAACTCCTGAAGAACTCCCCCATCGGCTCAGAGTGGGGACTGATGTCTCCTTTGTCAGTACCCAAGCATCCCCCTCCCCGACTAGGGAGGGCTGTCTCCCCAGACTCCCAGACTCAGGGCTGGGCTGAGTACTACCCTCCTCAGACAGTGCTCCCCTAGGGCAAGGTGAAAACGCTGCCCTCAGGTTGGGCTCCCCCAGGTCAGGGCTGTGTCTCCGCCCTCAGAATGAATTCCATCTGAGATGTTTCTGCTCTCCAGATTGCGCTCCTCCAGAATAGGGGGACCTTCTCTTCATGCTCAACATGGCTGAGCCTCTTGTCTCAGTGACACTTTGACCCTCCAAGCCCACCACTGGAGGCGGCTCACCTTGCCGGAAGCTGGAGTCAATGGAACGTCGCTCACCCAGGCGCCCACTGCCTGGGGCCCGGCTGCTCAGGTCTAGGAGCTGGTGCAGACGCAGCTTACGGCAGTAGACAGAGGCGGCCTCAGGCTCCAGGGCGATGAGTAGCTGTTCTGCATTCTCTCTAGACACCAGGCCAGCCTGAGGATGGGCGGTGGGCAGGGCCAGGAGCACCATGGGCTGTCATACCTAAGATGGCAGCCGGGGCAAGCAACTGGGGCCTGTGGGGCTTCTACCTTCTCACCATCACACCCTACCCATGTTGCACAAATTTGGAGCTGCCTCACAGCCACCTTGTGACCAGACTGGGGAAGGGTACGGCCATTTCCAAGGACACCATGGGGTTGCCCAACAGGAAGACTGAAAATCTAGAGCTCGTGGGATTTGCCCATCTGAGCTGCCCAAGGTGGCCCGGGCTGTGGCAAGTTCCCCTTCACAGGATAGGGCTGGCCAGCTGGGCACTGGCTGAGGATGTTAGTGAGACTCCAGCATAGTGTGTGTGTGCGCGCGCGGGGAAAGGGGGCATAATGGGCAGACCATCGATCAGAGGAGATGGTGGGGGCATCTTTTGTCTCACTGAATCTTCTTCCTCCACCAGGCGGGTGTTAAGACAATAGCCATGGGCTTCCCCACTCCCAGAAGAACTTTGTTCCTGGGGGATCTAATGTAGGAGGAAGGAAACTCTTAATGAAATTCCAGGCACCAAGAAAGGCCAGCTGGGGGGAGAAAAACACTCTGGATCTGTTACTTCCTGCATTAGGACAGGGGATCCCCGTGGGAAGTACTTTATGGTTTTGTGGGATTCCCTGGATTCTGACCAGGCGGGGCATCAGGATAGGCGGGTATTGAGACTTCCTGCCCAGGGCCAGCCCTTCCTGAACAGGCAAGCCAGGGAAGTGTGGAAGGAAGCAGGATGGGTAAACTAGCACTGGGAGGGGCACTATGATGGTGGTGGGGGTTGTTTTGGCTGGGCACAGCTTTGCTTTCTTCATGGTCTCTGCAGGGAGATGCCCACTAGGGTTAGCTCCTTCCAGTGACAAGTGTAGGCACAAGCATAGGGCATGCCTGGCCCATGGTGTGTGTATGTAGGTTGGGAGCCCTGGTATCCCTCCAAGGGGTCTCCGGGCAAGCCTGAGATCCCTTTTGTAGGTCCTATGGTGTCCCTCAAGGCCCCAGAGGCAGGGACAAACAATGAGCCTGGCTCTGGAAGTCTGTGTCCCTCTTTCTCCCCACATCTCCACTGGAGAGGGGATGCCTGAGTTGCATCCATCCCTTCTCCAGACCTTTAGGTATCTCTTATGGTAGGAAAACCAGCAAACATTGGCCCAGATCACCTCCCTTCCCAGTTTCATAGTCCTATTTCCTGTGCTCAAGAACTTACACTGGCCATGGCGGTAGTGGTGGTGTTCCCGAAAATATAGATGCGGGCCAAAGTAGATGTTCGTGGTGCCCTGCCCAGCAACTGGGAGTGTTGGCTACTATTGGCTCACAGCTGCCCCCATCTTTGGAAAGCTGCCCTCAACTGAATGGGAGCCACCTTGCTTGAAGAGGTCCCCTGCCCCCCATCCTCAGCAACCAGTGACACACTGATATGGATGCACAAAAAGCTAGCTCCTTTGCCTCACCGTGGCCAACTTCGGGGTACAATTCTCCCTCCAGAGCTCTTTATGGGATCAGGCTGAGGCTAGACTCCAGATGAGACCACAAGCTGCTCAGCTTTTTCTCCTGTCCTGCTTTCCCTCACCGCCTTTCTCCTAAGAGCCCTTCTTCAATAGACCAATGCAGAAGAATCCTCATCTTGGGCCCTGCTTCTAGGAAATCTGACTTAAGACAGGTTAAGCTGGCCTGGGCTGTGCTTGTGTCCCTCAGCCCTCTGTTTCTACAGGCCCACCCCCTCTCCTGGTGGCAACAACCCTCCAAAATGCCCAGCAGGGGAAGACTGGAGGTCTTTACACAATGACTCTGTGATCCCAAGTAGTGGTGGGGTGAATGAGGATATGGGACCATCCCTGTGGCCCTCCTGAGCAATGTCCACTGCTCTGCCTGCAGTCCTCACCAGGTAGGCAGCCTCCCGCATGAACTGCTTGGCTGGCTGTTTCCAGATGGCAGGCACCGTCAACACCCAGCGCACAGTGTCCTTCTCTGGCAGCGATGGGCATTGCTCCCTCAGCTCCTGGGGCAAGAGGGGGCAGTGAGGGGAATGGCTGGCTTGGGCTAGGGGGTGTCTTCAGCCCTCTCTGGGAGCTGGAGGAACTAATCAAGCCTCAGGAAGGACTTCCCAGCAGAATTGGGAAAATTGTTAACCCTCCCCCTTCCACCAACACCTGTATAGCCAGTACAGGCTGTGCCAGACAGGAAGGCTGGGGACTGGAGAAGATGACCTTTGACAGTGGCTACGCATCAGATGGGGCAGCGCACCTGAAGGGCATGCTCCTTGAAGAAGCACAGGGCATGGGCGAACACCTCCAGGGCAGGCATTTTCTTTCCATTTACCGCCTCCAGCTGGGTCTTCAAGGTGAGATCCTGGTAGGGATAACAGGGTGACTCCGCAGGTGGCCATAGCTCTGCCCCCATTTCCGGACGACCTCGCTCTTAAAATCCTATTTCCTATTTCCTGGTGTTTCAACTTCTTTGGCCTCATCCCACTCTGGCTCGAATCTGAGATTAGTTCTGTCCCCACCCCCTCTTTAGCCCCNCCATCCCATAGCATGCTGCCCCCACATCCCTTCATGAATGCCTTCGCCCTGTAACCTCATTAGCCTGCTACTGTCCTGTCTACGGTTAACAGTCATACTTGGGTGGTCAGCACCACATCCAGGAAGGTCCTACTACCCATGTCCCTCTTGTGTCAGCTTCCATTTTTCTGTGGCACAGGGTTGCTCTGCCAGGCTGCCTGTGTGGGCTGAGCCCACAATCAGTACTGGCCCGTCAGGCCCAGGCCCTGCAAACCACCTGCTGCTCCCCCTCCTGCAGCAGCCTTGCTTGGCCTCTCCCTCCCAACTGCCTCCGCACCCCACCCCCGGTTCAGGCCAGGGCCCAATCTTTTGGTACATTCTGCCTTCGGAGTCACGTGGTCCCTGTGGACCCGCTAAGTCTCCTTGGCAGGGCCCTTCAGCCTGACAGTCAGTAGACCAGGGCCCAATCCCAAAGCCAGAGCCTTTGGATATGTCCCTACCCGCCCACCTGCGACCTCATCTCCCTGGGCAGGAAGGCGGGGTTAGGGGTTCTGACAGAATAAGTACGATCGTCCATTCCCATCTTCCACCCCTAACCGGCTCCCCAGAGCCCGGGACCAAAAGAAGGCGGGGACGGGCAGAGTGGAGCTGGCATCGCGCTAGCGCGCCCTCAATTGGAAAGAAAGTCGATGGCAGCGCGCACCGAGCGATTGGTGCTGACGTCGACAGCAGTGACCTTAATCTCGGTGTCGCCAAATTGCATGGCGGCACGGATCTCGCGGCGGCCGGGGGGCGCGCCGGCGGCGTCGGGGCCGCTGTCTGCAGGCGCAGGCTCGAGCTCGAGGCTGAGCGCGCCGCACTTGCGCACCCCCGGGTCGGTGATGAAGCGCGCGTCCTCGGCGGCGCAGCAGTACAGGTTGATGAGCACTCGCCGCTGGCCCGGGCGCGCCGGGCAGTAGCTGCGCCGCACCTCCTCGCCCAGGGCTACCGACTGCTCGGCTGCCACAAAGCGCTCAAAGACGTCAGTGCACCAGCGGCGGCCGTCACGGACCAGCAGCTTGTCGGGCGGATGGCGCCCCGCCACGAAGCGGTTGAGCACGCCCACACCGTAGGTGAGCGGCGAGCGGCGCACTCGCACCACGCCCGGCGCCTGCCCGAACAGCACCGCACCCTTGAGGATGGTGAGGCCCACGTCGTGCGGGACCACCACGCGCAGCCCGCGGGGGCCCAGCGCCGCCTGCACCGCGTGCTGCAGCACAGCTGACTCGGCAAAGCCGCCCACCAGGAACAGCAGCTTCACGCCTTGCACCTCAGGCCGAGACAGCAGAGCCTCTGCAGGATGGGGTGGACAGGGGCGTGTAAAGAGGAGGGAAGGGGAAGGGAGGGAGAGCGAGCCACGGAGGCCACCACTAGGCCTCCACTGGTACCTCCCCTCCTCCTGCCTGTGCCCTCCTGGCAATTAGAAACTAGCCATTTAAACTATAAAATGGTTGACCAGTTCCGATGAAGAAAAACACTGAGCGTTTTCACTGAGGGCTCCTGGAGATCCTCGTGGGCTCTGCCTCCCCAACACTCTACCTCCCACCCCCACGTAGAGGGCCTGAAAAGATAGGCATTTATATTGATACCTGTTAAATGCTTACTGCCCACCGCGTGCAAGACATTGTGCTCACTTTCCAGATACTTCAGTTAAATCCATGTGATGTTTTGTGAACCTAATACTATCACCCCATTTTATAAATGGGGACACTGAGGCACCACAGATGCTTTAACTTGGCAAGACTACACATCATCCCTTCTAGCTCTTAATCCCCACCGTAATGCGTCCTCCAGGTTTTCCAGATGATTCTGGGTCTCATTCCAGTGTATGGATGTGTGGAGGTTTCCAGGCACTAATAGGGAGAGCTATTCCCGCACCTGGGTGTGGACGTGGGGGTGAACGGAGGACCGAAGCTTAGGTGCTCACCTATGTGCTGGATGATCCCGCTGACTGTGGGCTGAAAGAGCTCATTCATGGCCTCGCAAGACATCCTGAGCATCCCCTGTGAGGACCACTTCACGAAGTTGACGCTGTAGGTGAAGGGGGCACAGGCCCATGGGTCAGGGTCCCGGGTCCTACCCCTGCTCCGGGTCGATGTGCTTGGGCACTGACTGCACGTTGTGTGTTATCCCAGCCCCTCTCAGGGTCTTTTGCCACCGCATGCTTCTGTTGCAGGCTTGAGGTCCCAGGAGAGGAGCCTCCTTTGTCTCCGGGCAGAGAAGCCAAGGCGCATTGGCTGGCAGTGTGTGTGAGTGTGTGGCTGGCAGTGTGTGTGTGTCTGGGCGCGGGGAGGAGACAGACATCGGCCCTTTCCCTCCCGGGCCCATGATTCTCTTGCCCCGCCCCCTGCCGCGGGAGCTTGCCTGACGTGTGCGAGTGGCGGATTAGGCACACCCCCATTGGCCCCTGGGACCCACACCCTTGTAGGGGTGTTCCCCATCCGCACACCCTGCTTGAGCTCGCGGCCCCGGGGCCCACCTGCTCCTGCGCAGGGCAGTCTCCACGTTGTGGCCTCGCTGCTTGCGGTAGAAGTCGATGAAGGAGAACGGCAGTGAGATGTTGAGTGCCCCCGCACGGTGCGGGCCTGCAGTGCGTTTGCGGGCCTCGAAGGCGATGGTCAGATCCACCCAGGCTGCTGGCCGTTGCCTTTTAAAGATGGCAATGAAGTCCTCGCCGAAGATGCGGCCCAGAAGCTGCTCGAAGGCCAGGTCCACGCCCACCGCGCCATAGGGGCCTCCTGGGGTGGGGCAAGGATTAAAGGGTACGTCAGTGCAGACCCCACTGCCAGGAGGCATTGCTGGCCGGGTACCAAGGGCGCTGGCTACTCACCAGACGCCTTGTAGAGCTCTTTGAGGGTGCCATGAGGCTGCTCCAGCTGGTGCACCGTCAAGTCGACTGTGCCTCCGCCACAGTCTGCCACCACGTAGCGGTCTCCTGCGGCATGGAGTGTGGGCACACACACTCGAGGTCTGCCTTGCACCCTCAGCCCTGAGCCCTCTTCGGAGTCACCCAGCCTCTAGCCCTGCCCCAGGTCCCGAGCTGTGCTTGCGGTAGTGGGGTTGTGAGAGGCTTCAGGTATTCGAACCCCAGGTCACCAGGTAGAGGCACAAAGTGTGTGGGGGGAAATGGTCCAAGGCTCTGCAACTCCATCCGGAAATAATCCCTGAATGGAGTGAGGGGCGTGGCTGTGTGAGGTGGGCGTACAGGCGACTGTGAGGAAATGCCAGGTTAGGTACAGCAGATGGAGAAGGAAAGGGGTTTCTAGGGGCTGGAGCCAACTTCACGGTGTTCCCTTACCCCCCAACAATATATGGTGTCCCGTAGGACTCAAGACATATCCCGTCATCTCCCTGTCGCCCCACCTGCTTGCATCTCTGCCCACAGCTCTCCGACCCCCGACTCCACCAGGAACGTGCGGCTGTGGCGGGACCTTCGCAGCTGCTCGCGGGCTGGGGGGGTCGAGGGACAGCCAGACAGTGAGGTTATTAGGAGGTGGCCTCAGCTACAACACTCAGTCTCCATCCTCCT